CAACGTTGTCAGTTCCGATTGCCAATATTTTATATTTTCATTGTCGAGCAGGCTGGACTGGGCTGGGGCCGGCTGAGCAGTGGCGTACCAAGGATGATACGCACCTACAGGATTAAGGATTGTATGTGGTCCATTTTTTGGGCAGATGATAGGTTTGAAGAAAAACAGTCTTGAAAATCCCAAAAATTCTTTATTTATGTACTACCGGTTTCGAAGCTTCAACGCTTCATCTTCAGGTATAAAAAGACTAAAATTGAAAAAAATACCACAATGAGCACCAGTTGTATTATTTTCGTTGAATCAATCAACCTCTAAACTTGGTTATATTAGTCTTAATATCTAAAAACTGTAACTTACATATTTAATAATAATGAGAGTTGTCAAAATCAGGTCGATTCGGAGGAACAATACCTGGGCATTAGGCAAAATTGTCAATAAGGGATGTTACCCTTTTGAGTGTTATACTCATGTCCAAAAACAGGAAGGTCGGTTGATATTTTTAGTCTGAAAAAATCCCGGAAATTATTGAAATTTATTAGCAGTAGAAATTCGATAAGTTTACAAAGGGTTGGAAGTTTTTTATTAATACGGAAAAAATTCCATTATGTGAAAAATACCTTTATTTGTCAAAATGGTGTCTCGTCAGAACATGTTTTTTTCTTTCTTTTTGTTTTTTGGTTTTTTGGCTTCTTGGGATTTCTTGTTGTGTAAATATTAGTGTATATAGACGAAAAACAATGACATATAAGTATATTTTTAAAAAACGTTACTAGAAATACTTAATTTTAAAAAGGTGTAAAAGGTGTAAAAGGACAAATTCACATTTTTTGGACGATGATACAACATTGACAGTACTGATAGGACTTTTTAATAGTAGTTTATACCACGAGTCAATAATGATAGCTATTATTCTCGAGGATTATTACGAACTGAGCCGCGTTAGCGGCGAGGGAGTAACATTCCGAGGGAATAATAGCCATTATTGCGAGTAGTATACTCTACTTTATTTACGACAAATTAATTTATTTGAGATTTTCAATGAACAAATTTCATCCGTCTCATAATTTTCAATACAAATCCACAAGCACTACACGTTTGACACTGACACTTTTGTGGAATAATGACCATTAATCCCGCTACTCGTCATTAATCCCTGGAGGAATAACATATGTCATTATACTGCCAAAATCACAAATATAATACGCACATTATACATTAGTCGTAAATAAAAAATATTATTCATTTATGTTATTATATTTGTTGGTTCAGGTCACGTGCTCTTTTTTGGAGTGAAAGCACTACGTATGTGTGGCGACCTCTATTAATTATTTAAAAAAAATAAAAAAAAATTTAACCCAGTATGACAACTATGTTTATCTTGTACCGTTTCTCCTTTATCTACCCAACCTGTTACAATCTAGGGTACTGTACCGTATAAAGACATTGTTTACAAATCAACTCATTGATACCTAGAGGGCGACAAAATTTGAAGAAAAAAAGGGCCCCCTATGTTCCGGGGCCCCAGCGCTTCGCGCTCCTCCGCTCATCGATAGCTACGCCACTGACGTTATCTACAAGTACCTACTCTTGACAAATCGATAATTAGGCAATTCAATCCATTTGTCAAAAAGGAAAATTCAATGTGGCGTGGCGGCCAAGCAAGTTTGTTTTGAATATGTTTTTATGCATATTTTAAATTATTTTGCATACAGTTTTGCTTACAACTTTGATTTTCATTATTTAATAAAATATTTGTTGACTAGGTACCTAAACTATTAATTCGGGCAGAAACTAGATATTTTTTTGTGTTTTTTGGCCCATGTGTGGCCGTCACGCCATCTTGAATGTCACGTGGTTTGAATTGCCTAATTAAAAAGTTGACATTTAGACTTTACCTTTCTTAAGCCTAGTATTCATAACAGCGAAATTCACTCTTTTTTGACATTGCTTCGACAATTTGATGTTAAATGCGTGATTCAAACGTCAAATTGTCGGAACAATGTCAAAAAAGAACGAATTTCGCAGTTATGAGTAGGTACTAGGCTTTAATTGGGTTGTTGATGTTGTCATGTGTAACTTTAAAACACGCGCGTTTTTGAATATTGGATTTAAACACGCTGAGGAGTACTTTAAATAAGTAAAATAGGTTATCAATAAAAAAAAAGTACTTTTTTGTACGCTCACGGAACGCGCGGACAAAAAAGTAACCAAAAAAATGACGTCTGTGAAGTCAAACTTCAACATTAAGAATTGAGGTTAAAAAAGTCGTCATTTTTTGACGTTTGCGGAAAAAATAATTATTCTTAAATTCTTACAAATATTACATTTTTTTTTTCGACATTTCAAATTCGTCAATCAAACCTGAAAAGTCTATTGTTCTCATTAATTCGTTTTCGATTGACAATAGGGAAAGTGACGATTATCTATTATCCCCAGTTGCAGAACGATATTTGTTTCTAATATAAGCTAGAGTACTAAAAGACCGTTCACCCTCGCAATTCGTGATAGGTATGAATAAATATATTCTCAAATTAATGTTAATGTTTGGAAAAACCTGGAGAAGGTCGTTTTCTTCCATCTGCCTCAAAAAAGAATGAACGTTCAAGCCATTATCTTTCAAGTCCCGAATATAAGTACAAAACTGCATCAATTCAGCTGTAAAGTTGTCTGATATATCACTTTTATATATTTCTATTATTCTTGAAAAACTTGCCTTAAGTTCATGCTCCGAAATATTCGGTATTTTTGTTAAAAACAAAAACCCAAAGATATTACTAACATATTCATACGCTTCAGAAAGTTTACTCAATTCTTGGGAAAGTTTGTTCAGACTGACATTAAATGTTTCCACTCTAAATTTGTTTGGACTTCGTAGCAAAAGTTCATCCTTACCATCTGGATATTTTCGCATTAAAACTCGCTTCTCCTCGTCAATATATTTTGAAGAAACGTATATAGAAAGTTTTTTTGCTTTTTACTCAATATTATTAAATTATGTCTCTGTGTGCAGTGAGTTTACAAATTCTTCATGATTTCATCCCCGTGTGAAATGGTGTTTTGGGGCCCCCCTCATTTCGGGGCCCGGGGCTTTAGCCCCCAAAGCCCCCCCCTTAATCCGGCCCTGTTCGTGATCGTACCTCCAATTCCAAAAAAAAAAAATACAAAAAATTCCAAAATGGAATTCCTTAGCACTTTTTGGAAATTTTTAGAATTTATTGGGACTGTTTGGCATTTTTTGTAATCTTAGATACGGAAAAATGAGAGTAATGAAATTGTACAAATAGGTACCTACCTACATATATTTAAAGATAAATAGGCATTTTTAAACATTGAAATGGGTGTTATTTTGCAACAGTGAAGTCAAATTTAAAAAATAGGACGACAAAATGTACCAGATTAAACAGTAGCCCTTTAAAATGATCTATCACTCGACGCCCTGTCTTTTGGGGTGGTAGCCCTGGGGGTTAGTCCAGTTTTACGTAAAATACGTTTCCCTTCAATACATTTGTTGACGTGTTTCAACGATTTCCAGAAATACCGTTTCTTTACGGAGATAATGTGGGAGGCAAGTTTTGAAACGAAAGCCCTGTATATATGAATAGACATTTCAATCTCATCGGCTTATTGTCACCACTCGCTATTGTTAACTAACAATAATAAAATTCCAATCTAATCGATATTGCGTGAAATGATTCCGTAAAAATAACACAAATGATTGATTTTTTTTTAATCGTATTTATTTAATAATTTACCATAAAATGATAATTAACATTTACAATAATTTCAGGTTACAGATTCTCCTATAACATAAAACATTTTTGTATTATTATACTTAGTAGGTATAAGCTCTTTAATTTTAGTCATAAAGTCGAAGAAGCGTATTTATATGACTAAGGAACCTCGAGCTCATTTTCAAGAAGAAAACAAAAATTCATACCGATAGCCAAAAGAAAATTCATATTTTAGACTCAATCAGCTATATTTGTCTTTTTTTTTTAATTATTATTTACAAATTAACTGAATTTGGCTAATTATCTAAAATATAACTTTTCTCTTTGGACCAAAATAAATTATTTTGATAAATGAAGCTCTCGTGAAAGTGAAAAGTATGACACTTAAGATTACCAGTACAGTTTACGAGTGTGTCAAGTCTAATATTTGGTACAGTTTTCAAGAAAGGCATTTTTATTTTAGAGGACACCTATTAAAATAGAGGCAATATGATACATGCTTGAAGATCACGATAATGGAAACAGGGAAAATTTTTAATCAAGATTTAGTTATAGATGGCTGACAGACTTGATTTTAAATAAAAGAATTATCTATTAGATTAGGAGTTGGAATAATTTCAAGTACTCTTGTAGTCAAAAATTTCTCACAGTTAAGTGACAAAATCATTATAAACAAAAATGTAATTCCTTGAGGTTTGGACACACAAATATCGTTGGGGATATTTTTACTTTTTAGTATAACATTCAATAATCTAGTTTTGGTATACATTTAGAAAATGTGATTATCTTCATCGTATAAACTGAATAAGTAGCAAGTATTTTTACACATATCTATTCCCTAAACATTTAAAAAACACTGATAAGGTTTTTTTTTTGGAAGGGTAACAAAAGTCCTAGATGCCTTAAGAATTGTTATTTTACAAAAATTGATATGAGACTTTAATTCAAAATAAACAATTCAATTCCAACTTACAAAAAATTCATATGTATGGTGTGAGATTATTTTTAGATTTTCAGCCTTAGTTTCTAAAGCTTGTTACGAGGGTACAAAAAAATTATATTCCTTATTGATTTCCATTAATAATTAAATTTTGTGCCTCAATTCTAAAGCTTTGTGCTTTTCCTATATAAAAAATAAATTAAATAATGTTAAAGCCTCTCTCTCTAAATGACCTCTAGGATGGTCAAACTTGTTGCACATGTAAATTCCATTTAATGGCATTTATTTTATTCAATGTTTTTTTGGTATAATAATAATTAACATTTACTTACATTTTTTTTTTTTTTTTTTGTGAATAAATAACGAAGGGAATTTCATTTTATATTACACTAGCACATTTACACAATATAACAAAAAGATATTTATGAAAACAAATTCAATGACTCGAAGTCGAAAATTACTGAGTGGCAGTTTTGTCTCCGACTTTTATAGAGCTATCCAAAATCTTTGATGAGAGTTTTAATTTAAAAAAAAAAAAAAACACAACCATGAAAAATAATACACATAAGTTTTTTTATAAAGGCCAACTTTTTCATCAAAGTTTGTTATTTCAAATTATATCTAATCAGTATTAGGACTTCGAATGTGCCAACAAAGTCAAAAATAGCCTACTAATACTAAATATTAATTAAAAAATATGATATATATTAATGAACAAAATTGGTCTTTAACTAAAAATTAAAATAACAAAAACAATAAATAAATTTGATTTTCAATAATCACTTAAATTGTAAATATTTTGTGCTATAGATTCATTTTTGATCGGCAATAGCAGATCTTTACCACAAAAATTCTTGAGCAAAACAAAACTTAAATTACATAAATAATTTATTGGAAACATTTTTTATTTGAATATTTGGAACGAGTTTTGAGGAATTTTGAAGAAATATTGCACACATTTTTTCTTCCGAGAGGCTCAAAAGAGCATTTAAAAAAAAAAGCAAATTTTAATTTCAATAATAACCAAAGATGAGTGATGAATTAAACGATAACTTGATATGTTGTCAGCTGTGCTTCCAAATTATTACTGAGATTATAATATTATTATTTACATATTTTTTTTCTGACTAGTAGATAATTTAAAAAAATTACCGCAACAAACTTATTTAGGAAGAAATAGAATCCTAAACACTCACTTATTCAGTATAAAATTCCTTACCAATCTATATTTATAATAATTTGAAGTGATGTAAAGTTTTATTTTAAGTTGACAATTATCTCCCACAACAATGAAAAATTTCCACACACAACCAAAAGAAAAACACAAAAATAAATTTAAAATCTCAACTAAAAAGGTTGACAGGACAGTGGTGGGTCGTGCGCGGTATTACTTTTTATTTTAAGATGGCAACTTTTTAAAATCGAGTCGCTTTTCATCGTACGTCTTTTATGTTTTGCTTCGAGCCGAAAATTTTGAGCATTTGATCTTCATAGTCGGTGATGTTCCGTTTCATGATGTCCATGCACGGACCCAGCAGACGTTCAAAAGCTTCTACATCCAAAACTGAAAAGAAAAAAACCACATTTCAATCCAAGGGCAGATAGTATTGTTCGGTATTCAGTGAACTTTTAAATCGATTTCTATAAATCAAGAAAATATAATTCTATTAAAACTAGACAGTTAATTTGGCAACGCCGCGCGTGATAATTGACCCCACATACGTCACGACTTGACTGGCACTTCGACTCCAGCAACAACAGGAGTAACGGGACCATTCCGTTCTCGGCGTTTTTTGATCAATTTAACCTTCTTTTGTTATCAATTCAACCCTAAATATTATGTAAAAGTTTCAATATACAAGTAAAATACAGTCCACAGTCTTTATTTAATGAACCAGCCAGTACATTGGTCCATTCGCGCCGCATCAAGTAAAATTAATTAGTGGTTGAAGTACAACGACAGTAAGACCGCCATGATGGAGTAAACAAGGACATTTCGACATGAACTAAGGCCTACGCTTCTGTGCGACGTCCAGTGAGCGAGTTCCTTTTATTTTCCTTTATTAATTTCCTGACAAGTATTGACTGACACGTCATTTTTTGGTAATTTAAACTCTACAATTAATTATGGCAGATTCATTGGCAGTTTTGAGGCATAAAAGAGCCAGTATTCGTTCTAATTTGACAAGATTTAGAACATTTTTTGACAGTTTAACGCTCGACAATTTAACGACAGTAAAATATAATGAATTAACTTAAGACTAGATTGTTCAAATTTGAACCAGGCTATGATGAATTTACTCAGGTGCAGTTGGATATTGCTTGCGCCTTGGAAAATTCGACTCTTACAGCTGAACAAATGGAAGTTGAGCTGGATGAGAAAAATTATTTTGATGATTATTTTAATTTAAGAGCTGCGGCTCTGACAGCGCTCGACAGTTATGAGGATTTGAATAATGACAGAGGTTCACTTTCTAATAGAAGTGTAAATCAAAATGTAGGCCAAGGTCACAATAATAGTCAGTTATTTTGTTACAGTTCAAAATTCACTGTATCAATTTGTTAGTTTTATATAAATTCTCATTTAATATTGTATTCCAAAGCTCTAAGATTGTTTTTAATTAATATCCTTTTATTTTAATCACTTCATGAACATACACAATTCATTTTCCGACAGGTTGGCAGGGTGCTTCTGTTTTCCTGTATTCTTGTTTTGTCAGGGAAATATTCCTTGTGGGACTGCGTCTACAATGTAAAAGGATGACTTAGGATGAAATAGAATTCAATTTCAATACTTACCTTTATTAAAAATTGGGGCCCAGTGCTTTGTTTACCATCCGTTAATTATTGGGTTATGATTTATTATTTTTGACACTTGAATTTGAACTTGAACAGCTGGTGCTCCGAACACTTCGGTTTTTATCATTTAGCGGTCTTGGGATGTCACACAGGTGCTTGGAGTAAATGGGTCAAGGTTTCACCGATAAATCAAAGTCATTGGCGTAGTTCGCAGAATTGTTACTGTGTTGCTGTCTGTAGCAACATTAAGTTTTCTTCGTTTTGTTCATGAATTGAAATTCTCTGTGTAAAATTATAACTCAGCTGAGGAAGTTAACAACTATTTGAGACTTTTAAGAGTTCTATTGTGTTTTTGGGACTGTATGAAAATTATTGTGAGTTTTCGCAACAGACCCAGAGAGAGACGAGTCGTCCCTGGTTCTGACCATGACATTGCAGTTTTGTCGTTAGGGGGGAAATTGAACCTTTCAAGTTCTTCCTTCCGTCTTTTCTACCCCAACTTTCAGCCTGAATGGTCGTTTTAGCTGCCAAGCCTTCTTGAGTCCTAGGATTCGCCTTTGTACCTAAGGGATTTTGGCTGCAGTTTTCGCGTGGAATCCGTTTCTTTGGTTTACTGGATAAACCGCAAGTTGTGCTGGAGGCACGTGTAATTTTGGATTTCCACAAACCTTTTTGTAAGGAATTTTTGAGCACGTGCCTGAGAGTTGGTCCCAAGGGCTTATATGTCCATTTTTGTCCTGCCTTTCCGCCATCTTACGTGTACCTTGATGGTGATATTAGGAAGATATGCCCTTTCGACAATTACGGTGTTGCCGGATGAGGAAATGATGTCCTTAGGCGTTGTAGGAATGTGATTGTTGGAAGGTATGTTTTTATCTATTTTTATATATAATGGGGAGGGAATAAAATATAGGGTTTTTACTTAATAAAATCTAGATGATGGGCTATTATGAAAGCACCATTTGTGTGACGTTAAGTTCATTCTAAATGTGCAGTCTTCGTAGACCCGGCTTGTCGAGGCCGTCTAGTGCTAGGCTTTGTGCTGTCAAAGCTAGTTGTAATTTAATATAGTTCTGGAACTAAGGCTGAATACCTTTTCTAGGGCGTTGTTTTTGGTTGGTGTCTTGTTCCGGTGTCTGATGTTGATGTCTAAGTCAAGTCTAGTGTTTGGTGCACAATGCACGTAGCTAATGGGTAGCAGTAGCAGCTGATGTAGCTTCTAGACGTTTCTCATCCTTCCAGGCTGGTTGCTGTTTCATTTTACCAGCAGGATTGAGTAATGTATAACTGCTCTATTTTATTTCTTACATAATAATTAGAATGATGCTCAAGAGTTGAATGTCACTAAGGTAGAGTGTTTTATTATATATCTAATTACATATTTTCTTGGCATTGTCATGCTATAAATATAATCGTCTTGCGCCTGGTATACCATGGTATTTTAGGGGATGATTAAGGAAGTTTAAATGTCTAGCGAGTTATGTACACTCTATACATGGCCTCTTATGGATGAGAACCGTAACAACAATCCGACTTCGAGCGACCCACACGATTATTACTGCTGACTTTACATTTATACCATTTTATTTAAGCCATTGTAACGGATGAAAATTCGTCTTTATTCATTTGTATTTCGAGTAATAAAGTCCCTGCTTTTAAAAGTTTGTTTTTTAAAAAGTAACTTGCCCTAATCGAACCTAAAATTGGCGCAGTCGGTAGGATTTGCCAAAACGTCGCGTTATCGTCGAGACAAAAATCGCTCGTAATTTCGCAAAAAGTTCCGTTTACGGTTAATTTGGCAATCATCGTGGTTCCGGGCAACAAACGGCGAAAATCAAACTGAAGCAGTAACTGGTGGAGGACCACATCGCCAAAACCAGCTAGTTTAAGAAATCTAGGGAGTTGAAGACAAAAATCGCTTCTTTCCTCTTGGAACAGTAGTTAAGTGTAGAAAATAAGTGAAATAAATGCTACAGGAATGAAACAAATCATTTTTCTATTAATGTAAGTAAATTTTAAGTTTATTTTTATAGATTTTTGCTCATTTTTTATAAAGTCACTATTTTTTCTTTTTGCTTTTTAACGATTTATGTCTGATTCTGAAGACGAAATCGAAAATATCATAAATAGATTTAATTTAATTAATTTTCAAACAACAAATCATAATAATCAACAACCAACTTTGAATTTACCAAATAATACAATGCCTAACCAAAATCAACCAATCAATTACCAATTGTTACGTTTGTATGTGGACACTATTCCTCCTTATGATGGAGATCCGCACACATTAACCATTTTCATCAATAATTGCAGTTGTCTTATTAGTAATTTCCATCGTGACAATGACGATGTTCACAACAGCTTTATTGTGAGAGCAATAATTGGGAAATTATCAGGTCGAGCCCTCAGCTTAATTGGTTCTCGAATTAACGAATTAAAAACTTGGAACGATGTAAAATTTGCTTTAGAGTTAAGTTTTGGTGATCAAAGAAATTTGGATTGCCTTGTTCAAGATTTAATCACGCTATCACCTAATAAAACCGAAACACCTTATAATTTTGGCATGCGATGCCAAGACGCACGTTCTTTGGTATTCTCAAAATTAAACTCATTGAATTTAACACAAGACGAACTTGACATCAAAACTCAAAACTATAACGATCTTGCCTTAAAAACATTTATAAGAGGTTTACCAGGTCAGCTACAAAATAATATCCGTTTACGAGACCCTATAAGCCTTGAAAAAGCAATGTCTCTCGTGATTGAGGAAGAAAACTTCTTATACAGCCAAAGTCGTAATAATTTACTTAACTTTCAAAACTTCAGACTAAACCAGAGAGTTACTCCTGCTAATAACAATAGCAGCAATAATCACCCTCGTAACAAAAATATTAACTACCAAAATAACCAGCAAACAAATCTCGCATTTCAGAGACCACCATTCAATAACAATCACAGGCCATTTGGTTTCCAATCATCAGGACCAAATACATTTTATCCAAGACCAAATAATACATTCCAATTCAGACCAAATACATTCCAACCCAATTATTCACAATTTAGACCCAATTTCCAAAGACCATTTTTCTCTGGCCAAAAACCGAGCCAAATAATTCGAAATAATCAATTTCGACCACCTTTCAATAATCCCAATCAAAACAATCAGAATAAACAGAAACCCGAGCCAATGGATACTTCATCTGGCAACACAATGATTAACAATCAAAGACAACAACCCAAATATACATTCACAGAATTAAACCAACAAAGTATTGAAAATAATCCTTATGATCCAAGTCAATACTTTGATTATCAAAATATGATGAGTCATGCCGATAACTTTGATTATTCATATTTATACCAAAACGATCAAGATCAAAATTTCGATCCAAATGACCAATATTCTTTTGATAATAATTATTATCCTTCTAATGAAGAAATGCCATATAATACTTATAACCCATACGCAGAGTGCAACAATGTAAGTAACTTACAACAGTCTGAAATTTCGACAGCCAGCACTTCTCAGGAGGAAGCTGATGAATTAAATTTTCATATAATCACATCCAACAACAAAGTAACTTAATTAACTTGAACGTGACCGCAGCAAATTTGCCTTATCTGTACATCCCTGAAATAAAAGCAAATATCTTAATAGATACAGGGAGCACTAAAAGTTTGCTGTCTTCGAAAATAGTTAATAAATTTTACAGAAATTATACTTTTCAAGAAGAATTTCAGATTCAAACACCTCACAATATTTCTTATCACGACCAAGCAGTATTAATACCAAGTTTTGATATTTTTAAAGACAAGAATAAGCATAAATTCTTTGTTTTTGATTTTAGCAAAAAATATGACGGACTGATTGGCATTGATTTGTTAGCACAACTACAAGCTGTATTGGATGTTAACAAGAAATTATTAATCACTCCGATTGTAAAAATACCAATTATTTTTGAATTGGAAAAAATTAATACAAGTAAAAGAATAAGTAACTTTAATTGTTCTATAACTATTCCTGCTAGAACACAACAAGTGGTAAAACTGCCAGTCAAGTACGAAAAAGGTCATTGCATTCTAAATTATATTAAATTCGATGAACAAATAGAGTCACCAGAAGCTATTACTAATATCGAAAATTATTTTGCAACAACAACCATTATTAATTCTAGATCAGAACCAATAACTATCAAAATAACTGCACCTTTTAATTCAGAATTACTGAATGTTAACGAAATCAATTTTATAGAAAAAATGGAAGTTGACGACGTTATTGAGGTTGACCCTTCCAAAGATAATCTACTGAAAGCTAATCTTAAGAATCTCAGATTACAACATTGCAATTCCGAAGAAAATAAAGCTATAAGAGATTTATGTTTAGAATTTAGAGATATCTTTTATTGCGATAAAATCCCTCTAGCATTCACCAATCAAATTCAACATAAAATCAATTTAACTGATGATACCCCAATCTTTACTAAGACGTATCGTTATCCCGAAGTCCATAAGGCAGAAGTAAAATCCCAAATTCAGAAAATGCTTGATCAAAACATCATACAAGAATCATTTTCACCATTTTCTAGTCCTATATGGATAGTTCCAAAAAAATTGGACGCTTCCGGTAAACGTAAGTGGCGTTTAGTAGTTGATTATAGGAATTTGAACTTACGAACGATAGATGACAAATATCCACTTCCGAATATCAATGACATCCTTGATAAATTAGGCAAAAGCCAATATTTCTCCACTTTAGATTTGGCCAACGGATTCCATCAAATTGAAATGCATCCTGAGGATATTCAAAAAACCGCTTTTTCGACTGAGAATGGTCATTACGAGTACAAGCGTATGCCCTTCGGTCTAAAAAATGCCCCCTCCACATTCCAACGAGTAATGGACAATATCCTTAGAGGTCTCCAAAACGAGGAATGTCTAGTTTATCTTGACGATATTGTCGTCTTTAGCACATCCCTTCGTGAACACATTAGTAGATTGAGAAACATATTTCTTCGACTACGTCAAGCAAATTTTAAGGTCCAACTTGACAAATCGGAATTCCTTCGCAAAGAAGTAAGTTATTTAGGACACGTTATTACACGTGATGGTGTCAAACCAAATCCAGACAAAATTGATGCGATAAAAAAATTCCCGATACCTAAAACACCCAAGGAAATTAAGAGCTTTCTAGGCCTTGTCGGTTACTACCGAAAATTCATTAAAGACTTTGCACGTATCACAAAACCTTTAACTAAGTGCCTCAAAAAGACCGAAAAAGTAATTCATGATTCAAATTTCATACTAGCCTTCGAAACATGCAAAAATTTATTGATCAACGCACCAGTACTTCAATATCCTGACTTCACCAAGCCATTTGTTTTAACAACAGATGCTTCGAATGTAGCCTTAGGAGCTGTTTTGTCCCAAGGACAAATCGGATCTGATAAGCCAATTGCTTTTGCATCCAGAACCCTGAATGACAGTGAAACACGATATAGTACCATTGAAAAAGAATTATTAGGCATAGTTTGGGCTTGCAAGTATTTTAGGCCATACCTTTTCGGCCGAAAATTCACAATATATACTGATCATCGACCTCTAGTTTGGTTATTCACAATGCGTGAACCCAGTAGTAAGCTCATACGCTGGAAACTTAGATTAGAAGAATTTGACTTTACCATTGTGTATAAAAAAGGAAAACTCAACGTAAATGCTGATGCTCTTTCAAGAATTCAAATCAATACCCTCGAAAATAAAATTGATACAGAATCAATGATCAATAATCCAGGCGATATAGATCTAGACCAACAAAATACCCTTGAGTATTTACGAAATCTTGCAGAGAGTTTTTCAACATACGATATTGATAACGACAAAAATACTGAACCAAATCAAACCAGTAATGCAGAGACTATTGAAACCCACATACCAGATTTACCTGATATCACTTTCGAACCAAGTACTTCTAAACAAAACCATGTAAAAATAGTGTCAGATATCCAAATTAAACCTCCTAAAAAGCCAACTAACTCTGATTTACAAACAGTACACACTACACAAAACGAAACAACTAATAATGGAATAAAAATTTTAGACGAATTGATTAACAATAAAGTAAATCAAATCCTTGTCTTCCCACATGCCCATAATAAATTGGATGTTAAACAAGAAAATTATGAACATCATAAAATAATTACTGTGAAAATCCCTAAAATCAATAATGAAAAATTAATTTTCCAATTTCTCCGAGACTATACAATCACGGATAAAACATATTGTATGTATTTCCACACAGCTGAATTATATCTTCAGTTCAATCAAATTTATCTACAACATTTCTCTGACCATGGCCCAAAATTATTAAGATGTACCAAATTATTAAATACCATTACTAATAAAGAAGAACAAATTTTATTGACAAGAAATCATCATGAAGGAAAAACTAATCATCGTGGTATCAATGAGACCATCGAATACCTTAAACGAAATTATTACTGGATAGGTATGAAAAATACTGTTTCCCAATATATCAATGTTTGTGATATATGTCAACGCGCTAAATACGCTAGGACAAAACCCTATCACCCATTTGTATTGACTGAGACACCCTCCAAACCTTTCCAAATAGTTCATATGGATGTATTTTTCTACAACAATAAAATATATCTAACTCTAGTTGATTCTTTTTCCAAATTTGCTCAAGCGATAGAAATTCTCAGTAAAAATGCCATCAATATATCAAATGCATTGATTAAGTATTTCTCTTATTGTGGTATACCTGAAACCTTGATAGCTGATAACGG